CTCCAGCACCTAGGTGTCCCTCCCAGTGCTCATCCATTACTTGTGGGTATTGAGGTCAGCCCTTTTCGTGTCTCTGCCCCTCCTACCAGTCTTGATGTGGCCTCTTCTTTATAGTCTTAGTTATAATCTCTTCAGCTAGTCTTCAGATAATTCTTGGGGTTGAATGTTCTGTAATTTAGTTGTAATTTTCATGTGCTCATGGGAGGTGGTAGATATAGCGTTTACCTATTGCTGCATCTTGGACCTTCTTCTAGTGGGAATTGGTCTTTATTTATTTATTTTTTGTTGCATATTGCTAATTCTTCTTGCCTTCTTTTCATCAAGGACTATGATGCCTTCTTTGAAGCCAGAGAAAATAATGCAGTGTATGCCTTTTTAGGCTTGACAGCCCCACCTGGTTCAAAGGTATGATTTTTCTTGCTTTTAGGCCATTTTATTGCTCCGGAGTTCTTTAATCAGTAAGATTTACACATTTATTAAGTACTCAGATTAAGCCAAAGGCCATGCAACATAGGTGAAAGGAAATGTTTCTGCTCTGCATGCACATAAAAAATCCCTAGTAGTGCAGACAGATGTACATAATCAAAGACACAAATATGTGAGTAGGAGGAAGGTAGGGTTACTTCCCCATAAAGCTGCCCAAGGCAGCAGTTTCTCATTGACCCATTCGCAAATAAGTAGTTATTCCAGCTGTAATTCATGGCTCTACATCCACAGAAAGCATCTTAGTTCATAGTTATCTTCTTGGCAGCTTCTATTGTCTTTTTGTGAGGCAAATGCTAGAGTCATCCATTCAAATTAAGAGCATTTGAGTTTTAAACGTGGTCACTAAATTGCTGGCTAGACTTGGGGCTTTTTCTGCCAACAACAAATTAATTTTGTAAGTGGCAGTGTTCTCATGGAGCCCATATAAAAATAATCAAAAATTAAATTGCCTGTATAATGAAATGTCTCAAAGCTATGGACTTTAAATATTTCTTTGCTTTTAACTGTAGGTTTTCTCTACATAGGCTGGCTTAATCAGAATGTATGTCCCCTGCTCTATCATGTTATGTTTTGCTATTAGCAACTGATTTTATGTTAAACAGATACTTTGAACTGCAGCTCCTTGTCCAATTTTGAGAATCTGTGTTATTATTCATATTTTCACTAGAGACCAGTTACTAGCATGATAATCTGAGTCACTGAAAAATTCTCTTTCCTTTGTCAAACTTTTTTTCCCCATGAATAAAATGTCTTATTTTAGGCTTTCAATAACTAAGAAGTCTTAGAAATGTTAGGTAAGGCATTTTTGTTTAAACAAGTTAGTAAGACTCAATTTAAGTCATTGATTTCAGTCCAGATTATAGGAAGTATGAAAGGAAGGATAGTCTGTTTTCTGTGACTATGACTCTGTCTCTTTCAATTAAAAGTAGGAGTCATTCATTCATTTGTTCATTCAAAAAGTGTTGCTTGAATGTCAAGCACTGACTTGACATTGATGGTGGGCAAATACAGAGAATACCCTAATTTCAAAGTGTTTATAACCTAGTGATAAACTGTATCACTAGGTTGTAAACATATACACAGATAATTATAAAATAAGTATGTCTACAAATAATTATAATTTAAGACATACTGTGGTCCAGTCCCAGGAGCTTGGGAGCTGTGAGCTTTGGTGCAGACATGGCCAACTCCAAGAACCACACCATGCACAAACAGTCCTGAAAATGGCACAGAATGGCATCAAGAAACCCCGATCACAAAGATATGAATCTCTTCAGGGGGTGGACCCCAAGCTCCTGAGGAACATGCACTTTGCCAAGAAGCACAAAAATGGCCTGAGGAAGATACAGCCAACAATGCCAAGGCCATGAGTGTATGGACTGAAGGCATCAAGGACCTTGTAAAGCCAAGGAGGTCAAGCCCAAGATTCCAGAGGGTGGCAGCTGCAAGTTTAGTTGACTTGTTACATTACCCACCCCAAGCTTGGGAAATGTGTTCGAGCCCTCATTGCCAAGGGCCTCAAGCTCTGCTGGCCAAAGTCCAAGGCCAAGGCTCAAACCAAGTCCCCAGCACACCTGCACCTGTAGCTGCAGCTCCGCCTCCAGGCTCAGGCTCCCGCACCCAAAGGTGCCCAGGCTCCAACGAAGGCTCCAGAGTAGGGGCCTCTGTCTGTCAATATGACAACAGAAATATTGGTGTGACCCCTGGGCTGCTGTCTGCATGGGACTGGTGTCCTCCTGTGCTATTTGTACGAATAAACCTGAGGCAAGATCTGTCAAAAACAAAAAATGTACTGTTGTAAATTCTATACAATTGGTGTGAATAAGATGCTATAGGCATACAGAGGTAATCATACATTACTCCTAAGGACTTGGGTGAAGGGTTCACAGAGGAAGTGACATTAGAGCTATTAGGCATTCCAAAATAGTGAGGTGACATTAAGAAATCTTTCACAGAGGCAGCAATAGGATACACTACATTGATATGTAGTTGCACATGATGGTACAGTAGTTCCCCCTTATCCACAGGGGATACATTTGAAGACCCCCAATGGATGCCTGAAACCATGGATAGTACTGAACCTTATATATACTATGTTTTTTTTCCTATACGTACATACTTATGATAAAGGTTAATTTATTGGTTAGGCACAGTGAGAGAGTAACAACAAAGACTTATAATAAAATAGAACAATTATATTACTGTAATAAAAGTTATATGAACGTGGTCTATCTCTATCTCTCTAGAAGTATCCTATTGTACTGCACTCACCTTTTCAGTTAAAGGAAGCACTTTATGACTTCTCTTTGGCATATCTGAATTGTTAGCATCACTACTCTTGAGTTTTGGGGCCATTATTAAGTAAAATAAACATTACTTGAACACAAGCACTGCAACATCATGGCATTTGATCTGATAACCAAGTGACTACTAAGCAGGCTTAGTATAGTGCATGGATACACTGGACAAAGGGAATGATTCAACTCCCAGGTAGGAAAGTCTTTTCTGAGGCCCAATTAATGCTTTTAACTATGCTTAGTGTTTTGAGTTATTACAGTCCAACCAAAATACACATTGGATGTCTGCTTAAGATTAAAAATATCTGTTTTGTTTGTTTTTCATTTCAGGAAGCAGAAGCTCAGGCAAAGCAGCAAGCATGAACCTTAAGGAATCTGCCTTAAGTGTCCTGGAAAAGGAGTCTCCATTGTTTTTACACAATAGCAAAATTACCTTGGCTTCAAAAGAAATAGGCTTAATGTTGAAATAATAGATTAGTTGGTGTTTTCGCATGCAAACAATCAAAATGAATACATAATTAAATGTGAATGTTATGATAAGGAAAATGGAGGATGAACGTAATATTTTAAATGGATGTCATGGAATAGTTTTGTTATCTGCCAAGGCATTTTATGTACTTTAATGATTTTTAAAAGCAAACACTTGTGCCCTTTGTTGTTATTACAATTTCAGCTTAAGTATATCTGTAGCTTCACATTGAGGAATTTAAAAGAGAGAGAGAGAGAGAGAGAGAGAGAGAGAGAGAGAGAGAATCTGTCTCATTTTCCCAAATTGCCTCATTAATTTTAATGAACAAAAACATGTACCTTTTTGATAGGATGTTATTGTGACTAAAAAGTAGTTGCAGGTAATGTTTATGATGTCAGACATTATAATTTCCTATGGTAATTATAACATTCCCATTGTTTTGTAGTTGAAACTTCTATGTACTGAACCACAGGTTTTCTATGCTTCTTAAGATAGTCTTTCATTGCATATTTCAGTGATCAGAACAGATGACCACAATAAAAAAAAAACAGAAGCATTCCGTTGACAAATTCCTTGCTTAACTATACAGACAGCTATGGTGCAATCCTGTTTCTAAGTTGTTTGCCCCAGTGAAATATGCATATGTATGTTATGGAAATGGAATGGTATGTACATTTAAAGAGCCTTCCTTTTGCAAAGAGCTCAGACTTTTAATTAACTATTATAAAATAGGTCAGCATTTATTGCCTAAGACTGTTTTTGAAGGGCTATTTGCTAAAAATATCTTAGTGGTTTCCCCCTTTTAAAAAAATAGTGACCAAAAATGCCACTATCTCTAGATATTTGACGTTTTTATTTCAGCATGGGCATATAATATGTGCATACATTAATCTAAGCAGAGAGAATATTTTCTATGCCTGTGTTCTGGTGAATAGCACAAGTATCAGATAAAAGTGCCATTTTTAAAATGTTAATTTATAAAACTTCTAAGAAGACAAGAAACATCATGGTCTAAATCACTTACCCAGGAGATACACATATTGTACTTTAGTTCCACACTACTTTATTACTAAAATCAAATACCATTTACATTAAATTATATTATCATATCATTTGATGTACTCAAGTCTGTGCTCTTTGCCAAAATCAACATATAATGAAGACATGGCTTTGCTTACTGGGATTCAAACTTGATGTGATGCTTTACAATAAACTCAGTACTTTTAGAAATATAATTTATGTGTTCCTGGAGTTTCTAAATAATGTAGTAGTAATTTTAGATGAGTAATATATATATAATTTTTGAGGATGGGGAAGGTTAAAAGAAATAATAACAAAGAAAACAATTTGAATGCAATTTCTAAATTTCTTTTTTAGGTTCCTGAGTTTTTTGATACACACTGGAGTCAAATAAAGAACTATTCCATTGTTTTGTGTACAAAAATATGCTATGAAGAATACTAGAGAAAACTGTGCTTTGTAATAGATCCTGGAAAGTGTTTAAAAAATTGGTCAATATTTTTCTGAGCTTTATTAAATGTGGGTGATTCTATTTGCAATATTCTATGTGGATGTTTTTACTTTTATTTTAGTATCAAATAAGTTACCACTGTTAAAAACAGACATTCTTCAAAAATAGATTACCTTTTTGATATGTGTATGACTACCAGACTGTATGACTACCAGACTGTATCTTACAATTAACATATATGTACATTTAAAGTAAAAGGTCAGATTGAGTCTTCCTAAATTGAAATCTTTCATTTTGTCAGCTGAGCACTGTATATCTGGAAGATACAAGAAAAGTGAAATTCTGATTATTAAGGTGAGTTTTATAAAGAATTTTCACGAAATTTGCCTAGAAAATATATCTGTTGCTACTTTTTATTTTACTTTTGACATCTTTCTGTTTGTAAATCAGACCTGATAATTTGTTATTTTCTATTTTAGAGCTGATTTGCCCTTAAGACTATATGACCTTCAGGAAAATGTCTGTTTTCACCAAACAATGCAAATTGTTAAATGTCAGCACTTATTTGGGAATCTGAGTATATGGGGAAAAGGAATTTTGAAACAGAGATTTTTGTTATAATTACTTGCTTGGGTAAGTTTAAATACAGAGTTGAATTAAATTCATTAATTCAGCAAAAGGAAAAAGAAAGTTTCACATGGATTTGATTACCCAGCTGTGGATGATGAAAATATAGACAGATTGACATTGATTTTATTTTTTTCCTATGTGAAATAAATAGGTATTTCTTTTCTTTTGAAGAATTCCAATAAAACAGAATAAGAGACATTCATATTTGGTTAATTTGAACTCTCTGGTTTTCTTCCCCCACCTCCCTAACCTTGTCAGTGAATATTATGTCATCTCCTTTCTTTATTAAGCAAACAAAATTTTGAATTGCCACTTAAAGAGTAACCACACTGTTTATATAATTATTATTGATTTCCTTCATAACATCTTCTTTGATATATAATTCACATACCATAAAATTCACTCACTTAAAGTATACAATTCAGTGATTTTTAGTATACTGTGAGCTACGCAACCATCATAATTTAAGTTTAGAACATTTTATCACCCAATAAGTAAACTCTATATTTATTAGCAGTCACTCCCCAACTCCCACTCCCCCAGTCCTATATAACCACTTATTTATTTTCTGTCTCTATGGATTTACCTTTAAACAATTCATATACATGGAATCATATAATATGTGCTCTTTTGTGAATGACTTCTTCAAAGTACCTGGTTTTTAAGCGTCACCCATGTTTATGCATCAGTATTACATTTTTTATTGTTGAATAATACTCTATTGTATGGATATAACCTTATTTTGTTTATGCATTAATCAGTTGATAGGGAGTTTTTTTTCCCCCCTTTTGGGCCGTTATGTATAATGCTGCTATGAATATTCATGTATACTTTTTTTTGTTTGAACAAGTGTTTTTACGTTTTTTGACTGTATATACAAGAGTAAGTCATTTGATAGTTGTATGTCTAACAATTTGAGGATCTGCCAAACTTTTCCAAAGGTGCCGCACTATTTTACATTTCTACTAGCAATATGTAAGGGTTCCAATTTCTGCATTTTCTGGCCAACAGTTGTTATTGTCTTTTTTATTATAGTCATTCTAGTGGCTAAAAATTAGTATCTCATTATAATTGTTATTTACATTTCTCTGGTGACAAATTATGTTGAGCATCTTTTCATGTGCTTATGATTATTTGTATATCTTATTTGTAAACTTATCCTTTTAAACACTCTATCCATTTTTCAATTGGGTTGTCTTTTTTTTATTAAGTTTTAAGTGTTCTTTATATACTCAGAATACAAGTCTTATCAGATATGTGATTTGCAAACATGTTCTCCCATTCCATGGACTGTCTTTTTATTTTCTTGAGGGTGTCTTTGAAATACAAAAGTTCTTAATTTTGATGAAATCCAATTTTTGTGCTTTTGTTATCATATCTAAGAAAACATTGCCTAATCCATGGTTGTAAATATTTACTCCCATTTCCTCTATAGTTATTCATACACTTAGGTCTATGATCCATTTTGAATTATTTTTGTATATGATATGCAATAGGGATTCAACTTTTTTAAATGTAGATATCCACTTTTCTAAGCACCATTTGCTGAACAGAAGATTATTTCCCTATTGAATTGTCCTGGCACCCTTGTCAAAAATCAAATAACCAGGATGAGGGGCATCAATGGTGAAGTAGGAAGATCCTGAGCTCGCCTTCTCCAAAAGATATGCCAAAAATACAACTACATATAGAATAACTGTTGCTGAGAAAATCCTGAGTACTAGCAAAACAGATTTTCTACAACTAAAGATATAAAGAAAATGTCACATCAAGACGGGTAGGAGCGACAGAGACATGGTTCAGTCAGGACCCATAACCACAGTGAGACAACTCACAGGAAGGAGAAATATCACAAATGTGGAGGTCCATCCTAAAGAGTGAGGGGTCCAAGCCCCTCACTGGCTCTCCAGCCCAGGAGACCTACACCAAGAAGAGGAGCTCCCATAACACCTGGCATTGAAAACCAGCAGGGCTTACATTTAGGAGAGCCAAAGTACTGTAGTTAACTGAGACTCCACTATTAAAGGGCTCAAGCATGAACACGCTTCAAGTCCCAGCACAGAGGAAGCAGTTTGAAAAGCACCTAGGTCGTAAAGGAGATACATTTTAGGGTGAGTGCTAGAATGGTAGGTATTTGTTGGAACTTTCTTCAGGGATAGAGGCCCTGGACGGCATCATTTTCTCCTTATTTTCATAGTATTGGAAGTTCTAGTGCCAAAAATCAGATAAGAAAAAAATAAAAGGCACCCAAATTGGAAAAATAGTAAAACTATTAGTATTTACAGATGACTTGATATTATATATGCAAAATCCTAAAGACCCCAGTGAAGAAACTATTAGAACTAATAAAGGAATTTAGTAAAGTTACAGGATAAAAAAAATAGTATTCAGAAATCTGTTGTATTCTGTACACAAATAACAAATTATCAGAAAGAGATTAAGAAAACAATAACTTATATTTGCATCAAAATTAATTAAATATTTAGGAATAAATTTTACTAAGGATGCAAAAGACCTGTACTCTGAAAACTTCAAGACATTGGTAAAAAATTGAAGACAACAGAATTAAATGGAAGGATATACTATGCTTATGGAGTGGAAAAATTACTATAAAAATACCCAAAGCAGTCTATAGATTCAATGCAGTACCTATGAAAATACCAATGACATTTTTCACAGAACTAAAAGAATCCTAAATTTTATATGGAATCACGAAAGTCCCCAAATAGCCAAAGCAATCCTGAGGAAAAAAGACAATTTTGGAGGTATCATGCTCCCTGATGTCAAACTATACTACAAAGCTATAGTAATCAAAACAGTATGGTACTGGTATAAAAGCAGACACATAGATCGATGAGAAGAGAGAGCCCAGAAATAAAACCATGCTGATATGGCAATTAATCTACAACCAAAGAGGCAGGACTATACAATGACAGTCTCTTTAATAAATGGTGTTAGGGAAAACTAGACAGATACATGCAAAAAAACCCAAACAAACAAACAAAAAACTAGACCACCCTCTTAATATACAAAAATAAACTAAAAATGGATTTAAGTCTTAAATGTGAAACTTGACATCATAAAACTTGTAGAAAAAGTAGGCAGTAATCTTTTGACATCATCTTAGCAATATTATCTTTGATATGTTTCCATTGGCAAGGGCAACAAAAAGAAAAACAAATGGGAATATATCAAAATGAAAATGCTTTTGCACAGGAAAGGAAAACATCAACAAAATGGAAGGACTGCCAACTGAATAAGGGAAGATAATTTCAAGTGATCTATATGATAAAGGGCTAACATCCAAAATACATAAAGAACACTACAATTCAACATCAGAAAAAACAATCAGATGGGAAGTCACAAACATGATGGTGTGAGGGGTGCTCCTTGAAATCTCCCCTGGAAATTAGAACAAATGGAACATCTGTAATTCAACAAAACATTATCTATACAACACACAAACACATCTGAGAGATATGCACATCAAAACATCTGAAGGTGAGCAAATTGGGGTGAACAGGGGAGGCATAAAGGGGAAGTGAAGAGACAGGGACACTGGATGCAGCCTGCAGCCCAGAGCTCACTGCTGTCCAGGGAGAGGGGAGGATTGAGAGTGCAGGTGCACTTTCTGTGGCCCCAGCAATCTTGCCTGAGGGATCAGCATATACAGCTTAACCCAGCAATTGGGGCAGAGACCTCGGGGCAAAGACTGAATACAGAAGTGTGAGAACTGTGGTTTAAACCATCACTGCCAGAAAGAAAACAAAGCCACGGAGCCTGGCCACCTCCCAGCACCCTCCAAGAGCTCATCTCCCCCAAACCGTCCCAGCATTAGTAGTGGATCCCAGAGGGAAAAAATGGTAGCAATGTCGGATTAAAGAGCAGAATATCTACAGCCCTGAGAGCTGGAAAGGTAGTTCTTGAGATGCAGACACAGTGTGGTTAATGCCAGCGATAGGGGAGGAACTATAGGGACAAGACAACTGTGGTCTGGAAATCATCATTGCTAGGAGGAGAGCAAAAAAGCCTATCACCTCTTTCATCCCACCCCACCACCACCTTTCCTGGCTGATCCCAGCAGGGGCACCTAGGACTGCTGAGACACACAGCTCCACATCTGGCTGCAAGGGCATCACTGAGATTTCAGAGGCTCAGAACACCATCCCTGCCACTTTCTCCTATAGGAGGGGTGCCTGAGACAATGGCAACCTGGTCAGAGAGGAGAAGCCCAGCTCCCCGAGGAAATCGCCCATCTTATGAGAAGCCAGAACAGCACAAGAAAAAATAAAATGCTCCAGGGTCAACTACTGGAAAGCAAAAGAAAGACCTCTTCATTCATATCAATCTGCTGCAGAATCCACTCCAGTAGATGCCCAGGAAGAGAAATAATTCATTAATTGCTATGAATAACCAAGGTAACAAGGCAGCTCAGAAAGAAAATGAGAAATCTCCAGAAAATGAACTTAAAAACATGGAAATATGTGAATTAAATGACAGAGAATTCAAGGTTGCAGTTCTGAAAATACTCAAAGAAATGCAAGAAACCTGCAATAGGCAATTTAGTGAACTCAGAAGTAAAATCAATGGACAAAATGAATATTTTACCAAAGAGACTGAAATTTTACAAAGGAACCAAATAGAAATTCTGGCACTAAAGAACTCAGTAAAAGAGATGAAGAATAAAATAGCAAGCTTAGGAAATAGAGCTGATCAGATGGAGGAAAGAATCAATGATATTGAAGATAGAAATCTGGAAATGACACAGATGGAAGAAGAGAGAGACTTGAGAGTTAAAAGAAATAAAGAACTCTACAAAAACTATCTGACTTCATCAGAAAGAGCCATATAATAATGGGTATACCAGAAGGAGAAATGAGGAAGAAGGGCACAGTCTATTCAAACAAATAGTTGATGAGAACTTCCCAAACCTATGGAAAGAACTGGATCCTCAAATCCAAGAAGCAAACAGAACAAATAACCACCTCACCCTTAAAGGCCTTCTCCGGGACACATTATACTGAAGCTGTCAAAAATTAATGACAAAGAAAGAATTCTCAAGGCAGCCAGGGAGAAAAGGCTCTAACCTACAAACAAAAGCCCATTAGATTATCATCAGACTTTTCAGCAGAAACTCTACAAGCCAGGAGGGAGTGGAATCAAATATGCACACTATTGAAAGAGAAATTTCCAACCAAGAATAATATATCCAGATGAGTCTGGTTAAAGGTTTGTCAATTTTGTTTATCTTTTAAAAAAACCAGCTCTTGGTTCCACTGGTCTTTGTATTCATTTTTTAGTTTCTATTTTGTTTATTTCTGCTCTGATCTTTATTATTTCCTTCCTTGTACTCACTTTGGCTTATTTTGCTGTTCTTTTTCCAGTTCTCTTAGGTGTCAAGATAGACTGTTGATTCGAGATTTTTCTGTTTTCTTTAGGTAAGCCTGCATTGGCATGAATTTCCCTCTTAAGACTGCTTTCTCTGTGTCCCATAGATTTTGGGTAATTGTGTTTTCATTTTCATTTGTCTCAAGGTATCTTTTGAGTTCTTGATCTCATTGTTGGCGCATTAATTATGTAGTAGCATGTTATTTATTTAATCTCCAGGTATTTGTGTGGTTTCACTTTTTTTCCTGTAGATGATTTCTAGTTTCATACCACTATGGTTAGGGAAGACACTTGATATGATTTCAGTCTTCTTAAATTTATTGAGACTTGTTTTGAGGACTAACATGTGATCTATA